TTGCTCTCCAGCTCCAGCTTCATGATGGTGTGGAGGTAGTGAGTCCGCACCCGGATGGGGTTGAATTCGATGCGCCCCGCCATGTTCCCGCAGCCGTCCCGGGAGCAGCCGCACGGAAAGGACATGCGGTCCACCTGGGGACAGGGAGCGGAGGCAGGTGAGGCGCCAGGGCCCAGCGAGGGAGGCCGGCGAGCTGGCGAACACAGGCAGCTGGGGCGGGAGGTCTCCGCACACGAAGAAAAGCGACCAACCCAGACGGCATGCAGCGTGACTAACACCGCCAGACGGCAGCGACCACACCATCCGCGCTTCGATGCCAGCTCAGCCATTAATCAGCGGTGGACCTCGGGAGAGCCATTTCTCTCTCTGGGGCCTGTTCCCTCGCCTAAGCAAAGGGACGCCAGAATCACGTCACAGGGTCCCTGCGGTTAAGTCCAGAGACACCTCACCGAATGCTGACAGTTCCCACAGCAGAAGGAACGGGTGCTCCTCGGACTTTCCCAGAACTTACCTGGTTCACCGAGACAACCGAAGGCGGGGCCCGAGCTACGGCCTCTGCAGTGACAGGCATGGGAGGCATTCTGGGGAACTACGCAAGGGTGCTCAGCTTGCTAAGGTGCTAGAATGCGGGTTCAAGCAAATGATGGCCAGCTTTTCATCTACCTGCTTTACTTTTCCCTGGGGGTTGACCAGTTTCGTTCTGAAGCAGTTACCAAGACAGCTAACTCACAGACCAGGGGTATCTGAAAAGGAGAGGCTTTCTATCTCCTGATCTCCCTTTTGTATTCCAAACAGGAAAACACACACACACACACACACACACACACACACACACACACACACACACCAAAAAATAAATTAAAAATGCATGTACTCAAGTAAGCATGTACAAATACACAGTGTCTTTCTATGATATCAACTTATAGGAATTACTCTGCCAATTTCTAGGCCTGTTCTCAGGCCTGTGTATAACAGAATCATTCATTTTAGGACTTCAACCTGAAAAGCAGTATTTGGCCAAATTTGTTACAGCTATTTGTTACCTAGCTAAAATAAGAAAGAAAAGGTTGGTTAGAAAAAAAAAAAAACCAACCA